TTCAATATTTTATAGGTACCTACCGAAACAGGAAGGTATCTACTGTTTAGGTAGCTAATGGTTATATTTATGCGAATGTCAAAGTAAGAAGGGTTAATGTTTTTTTATTATATTTTTTTATACAAGTATACCCGAGCCATAGGCGTAACATTCAACCTAAATACGTCATAGATTGTAATAAAAGAAGTGTGAATAGATTAATCTTAGTTGCAAAACTGGATCTTTATGTTTATATTAAATGACGATAATTCAAAATAAATACGCTGTACACATAATCTGTCAATAACTTGACTTTTTCTATTTTATGATATAAAAATAGAAGATAATGAGCATTTCAATTAAGTATTACAGATAACTTACTTATCCAATTGACCTGTTTATAATCTGTATGTAAATATTAATCATATATATATATATATATATATATATATATATATATATATATATATATATATATATGTATACACCCATCTATAGTATTTTCTGTATCATAAAAACTTATGAATTTAAAAATAAAAATCGTAAAGAATTCTAAACGTTTTACAAAATAGAACGTTAATTTTCATTTAGGATTTTAGTTGCAATGCAAGATATTATGTGATAAATAGATTCATAAATAATAAATTATGTATCGAGATACAGATAGTAAGGTAAGTACTCGACGAGCAAGTTCCGTGAGGGCGTATAATTACAAGCGAGCAAACATATAAAGGTAATCCGGGCCGCGGCACGCGGCGGCACAAAGTGATGCTCGTGAATAAATTAGCGCCGGAGCACCTGCGGCGAGACCGCAGCGAGCTCCAGCCCCCAGCCTCCAGCCTCCAGCCTCCACGCCGTCACATATATATCTATAACACCCACTATTGCACCTGGCCGAGCCGACAGTTCACAAATAAATATTTGTATTACAGTATCATAGTTATAAAAAATAAAGCTTTTCATTTGACAACCTACAAAACTCTGAGGAAATAATTTTATTTCTTAATTTCTCATTACTCAAAGTTCCTATTATTAAAACGAGACAATTTATATTGTCGTTTGGTATGTATTGTAATTTATATAATTCAATTCGGAATCTAGTTTTTGTAAAATTGCGATATATACTCGTAGTTAAAAAATTTACTCCACATTAATCCTGTGCGCCCTATAGCTATATGTAGGAATCACATGTCATAGATAAGCAATGAAAGGCGTCGTCACAAACGAGAGTTAGACCCGACTTGCGGCTGACATGGGACCCCATGCATATTCAATTATTCACAAGATTTTACTTAAAGAGAGAATTTGCATATACTCTGATACTTAGAGATACGAGATTGAATTGAGTGTACTGGTGTATATTTCTACGAGTAGACCCTATAAATATATGTCTACCTATAAGTATATGCATGCCAAAAAGGTGGATATAAATCAAAGCTTTGGAGATATCTTAAATATTATTTTGCAAAAATTTTGGCTAGATATTATCAAAATAATGACTAATAGATTTATCTAGTTAAAGGATATGATTTACAATTCACTGATATATAATAAGAATAAATAGTAATAAAGAGTCAAGTATAAAATTAATACGTGAATAATTTTTAGTTTTATCTATATACATATATGTATGTATATAGATTTTTTGCAAACCTGCTATGTCAGTCGTTTCTGACAATTGTTTCTATCTCATCGGGAAGTATGCTTTAAGGTGAATAGAGTAGGTAAGTATCGTTAAATTTACATTTTGTTTAAAATCGGTTGAGTAGTTTTTGAGTGTATCCATTACAAACAAACAATTAAATCTTTCATTTTTATAATATTACTATAGATTTATATGAAAGAATTACAAAATATATAAGTACAAACAGAGGAACTAAGAACCTTTGAAGACGAGTTACGTAAGTATATGTAACAGAAAAAAGAACACGCAGATGTCTCTGATTACCTTTTAATAGTCATAACATGAAAATTCAAAGATTAATAAAGTGAATACCTATTTCCAGTTGTTTTGTTTGGGACAAAATAAAAGTGACAAAGGCGAACAATACAACACAATATTGTATGTGATATTGGATATATCGAGTGACGTAATGACAGATAGGATCAGGTATAGCGGTGGAAATGGGACTGGCCGCCAACCGCGGGCAGACGCTGTATTTCACTCAATATTTCAGTGAGTGAACAGGGGACAAAACAACCTGCTGTGAGCTTGATATACGTGAGACCACGGCAGACTACAACTACTGATCGATTTCGTTGGATTGTTGTCCCGACCTATTGTCAGTTAATAGATAAGTATATCTATCTATATATTTTAAATACGAATAAACAAGAATCAGAAAATATCCGGTAAGAGCGAGTACCTATAAACTATGTATAAAGACGTAACTATGTATATATGTAACATATGAATGTTATAACTTAAATATTATTTGATTTCTATCTTATTCTATTCTATCTATTCTATCAAATAATTTGCAACTACATCTATGAGTTAATATTAATTCTTGTGATCTATCTGAGGCGATTGACGATATGAACTTTCATCTCCTTAAAAAATCAAAATTAACTAGTTAATTCACGGAAACGCCCGATTTTCAATATAGGTAGTTATCGTAATTAAAAGGCTCTTGGTTTTTGACTCCTGTTTACTATGAAAATGAGCTAATTATATCTATATGTCAAAAAACAAAAACTTAGCTGTTATGATTAACTGCAATTTATCTTGAAAAGAACATATTAATGAACGCATGTTTTTTGTTCCAATCTTTTAACTGACTTCAAATTTCAAACCATTTGAGATGAGGATTACTTTACTTCAAGCCTTATTGCTACCTTTCTTTTCCGTTATCTCTTTGTGAGCATTTAGGCTTCCTAGGTTTTCATGGTGTGTCCTGTCGTTTGACGAAGTTTCTTATCTCCAAAATACTTCGTTTTTTGTTTATGCCCTATAGCGGATCTTTTAGGATCCACGCTGTTAGATACTAGAACTTCCTTCTCATACCTGTCCGTGAGAGTCAATCCTTAAATATTTTTAAAAGTAGATTTTAGAAGGATCTTGTATTCTAAAAATATATTTTATTTATATGTATAAGTTTATATATGTTACCCTTTATAGAGCTGGCCTATGTTCAGCAGTGGGAAGTCAACGATTGATATGGTGAAGATATATGTATACATACTATTAAATATGAGTTGATTGACTATGTATAAACTTAAGTTTATCTAGTTATATTTGTTTGTAAATTGTTATAAATATTGTACCGCTTCAATCGCTAACATTGATGCTCCTATCCACTTTGAGTTTACTGGAAGAGAACTCTTGGCGAGCTTACCTCACTTAAGCTCGCCTTTGTACATTTGCTTTCCAGTGTCATATTTCTTTATATAACATAAGTGTGTACAATAAAGTGTAGATATATAAAAATATTTCCTCAGAATCCATCTTCTTCTATCTGTTTATGCTATAATAAAACTAGAAACATTACAATTTCTGTACATTAAATATTTTTCTAAAAATGTAATCGGGATATACTCATATTATACTGTCGATATGTAAGTATGTTATACTAAGTCTATGGTCAATATAAAACCCCTAACAATTTTTTTAGAATTGTTTAGAATTAATGCCTGTCTGTGGCGCAAAAAAACCTGTGGAGGGTATTTGATGAAACTTTGTAATGCGTAAGGGCCAATAAAAAAATAAAATTATTTTATTCGTAAAAAGATCAACGATATCTATTGTCAAGTAGTAGTAACCATTCAAAATGACAACAAAAAGTTGATACGAAAATATTATCACTCCGATATAAAAAATTAATATATACCTTCAACGATTATAAATAAATAAAAATATGTCTCAACTTTTTACATTTGGGTTTTCCAAAGTCAATTTTAATTACAATTTATAATCTTAGCATTAAAAATATAAAAAAAAAATGACACGAATAATTGTGCTCATGTGAATTTTGAATTAATAAACTGGGATTTAGATAAAAATGACATTAGATATAACATATAGGTACTACATACATACATACATATAAATATACATACTAATAAATTAGCAATTTGTATTTTCAATAATAATGGCTTTGTTTTCGGATCTTATACAAGCTTTAAGGATAGTTTAAAAAGAATTATAGAGATTATTTCTTCTATATTTGTAATGGAATTCCGAACTGAAAGCTCAGGTTTCACTAATTTATATTACTGCCATCATTAGGTTTTTGTCTTCCGTGCAAGGGACAAGTATACATACTGATTACTAAGCAGCAAAAATAATGCAGCTAGTTAACTACACAGAGTTGGTAATTTTTAGTTTTCTCTCTATTTATTAATATGTACACGTGAATAAAATCGCGGGCACAGCTACTGTAGAATATACATAAGGACATAAATATTAAACACCATAAAACTCCGTAAATTGTTTTTCCTGTACATATAAAGTGGAATATAAAATATAATTTTCTGCAACTCATACAGCAGGGGAATATCGAGGGTTTTTTTTATACAACTTAGAATAGCAAACAAGCTGACGGCCCACCTGATGGAAAGTGGTAACCGTCGTCTATAGACATGAGCAGTACCATGGACATAACAGAGTAACTGTTTCGCCCATGATACCTCCCATGCGTTGCCATTCCTGAGGACTCAGGTGTTATTCCTCTGTACCCAGTAAATTCACGCCGTATCCCACCCTTCAAACTGAAACACAGCCATGCAAACACAACTGCTTCACGGTTGAAACACGAATGGGACAGAGGTACTCAAGCAATCGACTTTTCTACAAAGTCTGGTACAAACTGGGTTGCTGAAAACAGGGAAGATAGCTACTTTCTCTTTAAAAAACCTAAGGTCTAACCTAACTAATACGCAAGAAGAACGAGATTTCCATCAGGCCCTTATTTAGGATGGTGGTGGACAAAATTAAGATCGCTATGATGATAGCCAACCTGTGGTAGTATATGGTACCTACAGAAGAAGAAAAATAATAATTATAAAGAACTGGCTCTTACCGTCTTTGTTCATGTTGGCTTGAAAGCACTTGGCGAGTCTACAAGCGCGGCATTGATTCCGGTGTGTTTTGTCCACGGGACATCGACCTTTCATATCGCCACCAGCCTTGCATGTGTATACTCTGTTCCTGTGTATTGACCTTTTGAAGAAACCCGAACATCCTGCCAAAAATTGCAAATTCTGTAACCTTGTATCCTCGAAGATATTTATTTTTCATGTTTTCGACATGCGCATCCAATACATCTATCCAGGTTACGTGAATATAACTAAAATGCAGAAGTATGTTAATGTAAGGATGGATATTTATTAATTTTTCACGTAAAAAGGACTAAAAAGAATTGAATGAAATTTGGCAGATTATAACTTAACTTGTAGGATACTTTATATACATTTTCATGGTGGCAAGGCAGCGGAATTATGTATAAAGCGTGCGTCAAAATACATATAAAAGGCTGAACGGATTTGATTAATATTTGATAGACAGGTAGCTAACTTATTATTTATTATTTTATATATTATAGATAATAGATAGATTGTAGATATTTTATATACTGAGTTACATAGACGTAAATTTATCGAAGAATACTGATAGCTACAAACCACTGTATTCGCTTGTATAATTAAAAATAAATTATAATTCATATTATAAGTACAAGAGTATTATTATTTACAAGTGTTACTGTGCAATTATTACTGTAGTCATTTATAACTAGAAAATATCTCTTTCGTATTAAACACTTCTTTTTAATGCAGAAATGGTTTGATTTTAAAATTACACACCATCATTTTCTAATCTTACCATCGCAACTGTAAATGCCGTAATGTTTTCCCGAACTTCTGTCGCCGCAAACATTGCATGGGATGTCCAGGAGGCGATCACCTAAAACAACACAAATACAAGTTACTAAAACATACGCATTTTTTGGGCATTAGTATAATAGGTCTAATGCTAGCTTATTATTTATCACATGAGTTCTCATTTGATAAGGATAGGTTTGTCCAAAAATAGTCACTATTGTTCTAATTTAAAATACACTTGGCCTTTGGTTCTTAATTTGACAGTATTTTAATGCACGTATGTTTCAAATTTGCTTACCAAAATTTGCATCAAAGTGCTTACCCTTATCGAGTCTTATGAGAATTTTGTTAAAATAAAGTTACAGTTTTTTTGATATGTCGGGAAAACAGTTAAATTTTGTAGAAACAGTCTAAAAAATAAAATATATATATATATATATCAACAGGCTAAATTAATCTGACCGAAGACCGTTAATCAAATTGAAATCAAAGTTTAAAGAATAATACAGAATAGTTTTGTGTGACTTGATTGATTAACGAATATCAAAAGTCAAATCAGGAATTTAGAAAGTGCTCAGGTATATATTATATAAATTGGTTCTCTTAAAACCTCAATTGCGTTGTAGTGTCACCTGAAATTTATTAGGTATCCCTAAATAAGATTTATTTCAAATTATATGCAAGCACTTAAAAAATATGGTTTGATTATTATTCGATATATTAAGACTCTATATTTCCCATATTTCTACAATAACATTCGATTGTAAACTCGTACTTACTTGCTATCCATATTTTATCCAAATCTTTAATGTATTGATAGTGAAGCCGTCAGAATAGATTAATACATTCTGTTATTTCTTTATACCAGTATCCTCTGGTTATCTAGTTTTTTGACAAGATATATCCAGTATGAAATAAAGATGTACTTTATGTAGGCAATTACTATTTTTAGTAATTTTATATTGTACCATTATGATTGTAAATTTATAATATCACGCTTATCTAAGTAGTAGGAATTGTTTATCTATTAATTGACACCTCTAAGCATCGCGGAGCGCCCCTTTCCCAAAATAGATTAGTCAGATTACACCAATCTCGCTAATAACGTTGGTGTTTTTGTTCCGTTTACTGAAGCCTTCCCTTTCGCCCCCTTTTCCTTAACGCTTACAAAGGCCTACTATTACACCGAAGTCTTACGTTTTGCTTTTTTATATTTTATATACTTTTCAAACATTATACATATTATTATAAATAGACTTTAAATTCATTAGACAAATGTTTTCAGTGTATGTCAAAAATATTATGTGGTTTTATTATAAATTAATATGTACCTATATTTAATTATAATTAAGTTTGACTTCTGTTTGGATTGTATATCGAATACATTTGTATTCGTTTAATAGTAAACAAGACAAATAGATAAGCTACAAGCTAAGTGAAGTTTTGTAGCTTCGTTTTACGGCAATGACAATTGTCGAATATAGCCACAGCCAACCGAACAACTGAACTGGATGACAGTTATCAGCGAAATTATTTAATTTTTGTATTTATTTGTTTGTCTAAATTATTATCTATACAGTGATTATAATCTTTTTTTTATGCAACTTAGAATGATAAACAAGTTGACGGCCCACCTGATGGAAAGTGGTAACCGTCGACATGAGCAGTACCATGGACATAACAGAGTATACTGTTTCGCCCATGATACCCTCCATGCGTTACCATTCCTGAGGATAAGGTGTTATTTCTCTCTAACCTGTAAATTCACTACCATATCCCACCTTTCAAACCAAAACACAGCCATGCAAATACAACTACTTCATGGTAGAAACACGAATAGGACAGAGGTGCCCAACCAAACAACTTTTGTACAAAGTCTCCCTCTGGTAAAATCTTATTACAATAATTTTCTATCGCAATCGTTACATATTTAAAATGGTTATTTAATAACTTTTTTTAATTATAGGTAAATTCAGGCGTAACAATAGGGTGACAGGGCTGGCATAATGCCACGGGCCCCCAACCTAAAAGGGCCCCGGCTCAAGAGGAGGCGAATTCAGAATTTTTTTACCTTGTACCTAAATATTTCATTGAACTTGAAAATAAATGATATTGCCCCACCAAAAGAATTTGCCACATACCCGAAATGGTATAGTTACGCTTAAATTAAAATAGTCGTCTATTGTTTTTGTGGAAATTTTAGGAAATTAATTTTCTATTTAATTTAAAAGTTTGTTAAGCGAACAAAAATAAACAAGGCGAATTCTGATACATTACTGTGTGACAAGTTACCACCCGTAATGCGGTGAATCCTTTTCAGTAAAGATCTTTTCTTTTTTCGGCGAAACGGACTTAGACGACTTTGCCATTCGTCTTTCAGGCCTCTAAGAAAAGCCGCGAAGTGTCGTAATTATCCCCCTTTTTGGTAGTTTCAAAGGGATTTTATGACAGAAGATATTTATAAGACTTCGTTTAATATAAGTAGGTATTGAATGTAAGAAATGTGAAACATCTCATTGGTAGGTGCTTATACATAACTAAGACCAAAGTGTAGGCACCTATACAAATTAGATCACCTCGGACTCGGTTTTTTTATGATATTCATGAATTTAGAATATTTACATTAATTTTCATATAAATACTAAAGTACTTATGATTTATTTCCTAACTGATATGTTTGGTAATACTACATTATTTTATGTGTTAGTTTATGCGTTTGACTGTACCAACATATAAACTTGAATTTACCAATTTATGCTAAACACACGTCACAATAAATTACTATGATCGCATCACAATATTGTTATTCGGCTATGATACCTATCTAGGTGTAGTTTTAACTGTAACAATTATGAATTATTGTTGCAGTTCAAATTGTAAATAGTGTGATTAATGCTTAACACAATATACACTATCGGGACGACCTCCACGTGGTTGATCCTGGAAACTATTGTGGTTAATTATTGTAAAATTTGTCACGATGTGCTTTTATCCTCATCTATCAACTCTCACTGATGTTCTAACAGCATGTACCAAATGCGCTGGCGGGGTTTCCATTCCATTTACATCATATAAAAAAATATTATGCTTAAGGAAAAAATAAAATGAATAGTATGAGTAAATACTGCCAGTATTTTGAACACTTTCGTCAAAAGTGGCTTTTTGGAAAAATTTAATAAGTAAATAAGAGTTTGCATGGCTGTTTTGGTTTGAATTTGCACAGCTATGTTCTCAGGAACACGAACGTATGAGAAGAACTGCGTCAAAGTTTTTCTGTAATATAATAATGCTGTTAATGCTTATAGGTGCCGGTTACATGCCACTTACAATGAAGTGGGCGTCTGATTATTTCCTATTCAGTTGTATAAAAAATATAAATCGATAATCTTTATAAAGATAATAGCGAAATATTAAATAGATTGGAAAAACCAAAAATGATAAAAAATAACTATTTAGATTTATGTCGTTTAAACGATTTGAAGTCTTTTTAATTGATAGGATTCCAACAAAATTTTATAGTCGATTAGGTAAGTAATTTCATATTTGATAAGGTATCTATTTATAGGCCAAACTTAAAAATTGGTGTAGGCATATTTTACTTATTAATACATGATGAACTTGATCCCTTTATTATATGAAGTTTAAGGCATGTGGAATGGATGTTTGTTTACTCTTTCCCGCAAAAACTACTAAATTATGATAAAAAATAATACATTATTTGCCTGATCACTTAAACGTTTAAGTTTATTAAAGCCGGAATTAAAATAAGCCAATAAAATATATATTTATAGATAGTGAGATAGATGTTTATTTAGGAGTATTGTTATTCCATCAACCCAACCCAACGATTTTCGCAGTTTATTAACATTTTTCACGTCTTTTTGTTACCTCTTTATTAGAGAATATAATTAACTGATTATAACGAAATTGAATAATTAAGTACCTAGATAAATCCAACTTAAATGTGTTTTGATAAATAATACCTAAAATATCGTTTTGCGATTGTGAATAATATAGGGACAAGTAAGCTCAGTGTGTGGGCGTAGTAAGGGAGCATTGGAGCATTAGCGTGCATCGTCCAGCGATGCGTGTACCGCGCATTGAACTATGATAATGCGCGACAAATTACGATCGTGTGAAATGTAACACTCATTGGTATTATTGATACTAACGTCTGACAATATTCTTCGGCTGATATGAACATAATCGTGACATTCAAATGGATATAGGTAGCTGTATGTTGGGGATTATGTTTAGTGCTATCATTGATCACTAAGCCATATTTAACGCATGATAACATCTTTATTTGTTGTACAACAACCGGTGTAAACTAGATTACACCGAATTTAGTTATAATTTATAGTTCTAACGGTAACTAGTTATGGACTATTAGTTAGATTATAGCCGTTTAGAATTATTTTTGTATATTATATGTATATTACAAAACAAAGTACGTAGGTTTTCTGAAAATGAACTATTTAATTAGATTTTAAACGTATAGTATATATAATATTTCTACATATATATATAGATATGTTCCACACTATAATTCTTATAAGTATATGAGTATATCCGAAGCATTTGGCGTTCCATTGTTTCTGCCTACCCTAATGGGAGACAGGCGTGACAGATATGTATGTATGTATGTATGTATATGAGTGTATTGCATTATAAAGTAATTACTAGATACCAGTTTACTTTTGGACCCTAGAATTTTTTAAACGTTTTGATATAAAAAATAAACAATAGGTACCATTTCTTAAACTTATTTGATAGTTTTGCAAAGTTATTATGGCATGGACCATCGAGAATAAAATGCTTTAAACAGATATTTAACATAATAAAGACCATGTGACAGAACTGTTGGCATCTGTTTAATTGCCTTATAATTGTATTAAATATTATATTAATTAAATAAATTTGCTTACATAATAATAATTTAGTTGTAATATTAATGTGAAATTTATTTTTAGAGGTAAATTTGAAAATGGTGTTTTGAAACTGACTCCATTGGAGTCACTCTAATATATATAATTTTATAATAAAAAAATAACAACTGGAATGGAGAAACACAAAAAAAAA